GCTTCTGAAAGCAGGTATCCGGTTTGTTTGGGTTCTATAATCGAAACACTGTATCAACTCCAGCTCTGAGATCCCAGCTGGCTGAAAGCAGGTTTCTGGGGTTTTGTTTAGCTTCTATATTTGTAACAATGTTTCAAACTGCAAGCTCAGAGGCTGGCAAGGCAGGGGGGGAATGTTGGTTTCCTCTGTCACTGGTCACTGAAGCAAGCAAGCCTCATGTTAGTTTCAAGCTGCCTGGCTGCCGGCCGTCATCTTGGCTGGCAGTTAATTTGCATATCGCCCTGATTAGCCAATGGGAAGGGTAGCAGACATATGCTAATTACCATGTTTCTCTTTTATTAGATAGGATGTACTCTTGTTTTGAGGGAAATGTTATATTAGGAGTTTGCTTGAAAGTTCTACACATCATTCATGTTATGAAATTGACTGTTAGATGAGATGTGCTTAAAACCTGTTCTTTTAGTACTTGAGGAGCTAAGCCCTCAAACTCTCAAATGGGAGCCTAAACAATCCTCATAATTTAGTTAACTATATCTTACATTCTAAAGTTAAAGTTGTAATGAGGTTTTTAAGAGTATGGCTTGTTTATTGCAAGTAAAATTTAAAAATTTTCTACACATATTTTGAACAGTTTAAAAGACAGAAGGAGATTTGGCAGGGAGGAGGGGTGGATTGTGACATATCCAATCTATATATGTATATATAAAAGCCTAATATGCCAATTGTCCCTCCAACCGTTCGACCATTCGACCAGTCACTATGATGCGCACTGACCACCCAAGGGCAGATGCTCTGACCGGTAGATTAGCTTGCTGCTGTGGTCCAGCCAATCGGGACTGGGCGAGACGAGGCCAGACACACGTTGGAGCCCTCCCGTGGTCCCTTCCCAGCCCCTATCATGCACAGGTGGGGTCCCTCAGCTTGGCCTGTGCCCTCTCGCAATCCAGGACCCCTCAGGGGATGTCAGAGAGCCAGTTTCAGGCCGATCCCCACAGGCCAGGCCGAGGGACCCCACCAGTGCACAAATTCATGCACCGGGCCTCTAGTTTAAAATATGAGCTATTCTTAATTATGTAAATTAAGAAGTTTCCTAAATACTAAATAAAAATAACTATAAATTCCTGTTTAAATACTATGCACTGTTTAGTGTTATTGGTGTCATACTGTCATTCCTATATCCATCACATCTTTAACTTTACATTAGAAAAAAATTCTTCAAAACTGCAAAATCAGAGGACATGTGTAACTACAGAAGCACTTAGGAAGGAGAAATACTACACAAAATAAAGATGGAGGTAGTGACTTTTTCCCCAACACAAAATTCTATTGCAAGGGGATCAAAGAAAATATTTCAATAATTCATACAAACCTCGCCAGTAATCTCTGTTTAAACATTTTCCTTAGTTTCTAACCAGGTGCAATATTCTGGTATTGACAAGATCTTAGAGCTATTTCAAAGTTACATATACAGCATATCCCCTGACTTGTATCCACACACACTTTATAAAATATTTAAAGCCACAAGAGCCTTTGAGGCCAAAATTTTCTTGGGAAATTTAAAACTGGTGGAGCAAGAGATAAAAAGAAGAGGAACTTTTGGACTAATTTCTAAAATATTTTACTAAAAAAATTATTTAGTGAGAAATTTTATCTTGCAAAACAGTGCCTTTCATACAGTTTAATTGTTATAACTATAAGCAATAAAAATTAAAAGGAAGACAATTATAATAATTTTTATAAGCTATACTTAAGATTTATTTGCAAGTTAATATCTCTAGTTTTTTGTGCTCATTAATTTAAGTTCAGAAATTAATTTTGCTTTATGAACACTTCTATAGCAAGAAATTATATAATAAATGTTTGAGAGTTTTAGTCAGTTAGATCATTTTTTTCACAGTGAATACTTTAATAATGACTGAATTTTTCTTTCAAATTTCTATTTCATAGATTTTGTCTTTATTATAGTGTTTTCCTTCAACAAATATAATATTTAATGCTTAGAGATTTTCTACCTACAGCGTCAACAAGGTACTCTAGTATCCAAATAAGGAAAATTTCTGTGTTTCTTATTATTTGGGAATCAGGAGCCTCAAAGAAGAGTTGTATTTCTCAAATTATTCCGTTTCTGCTGCCTCCTCTATGCTGGAAAGAGGAGCTTTATGTTCTTAGTGGGTTTGAGAGAAAAAGTATCTTCCGGTTCACCTGCTGCTCAGAAAATACAGAACACCCCCACAGGATGTGCACACATCCCCTCTGATGCACTCACGTCCTTTGGAGAGTGTCTGGGTGTTCTGTGTGCTGAGGTTGGGCGCCTGTGAGATGACAGTGAGAGGGCAGAGTGGTGATGGCCTGTTCCCACAGAGGCCAGTGCAGCTACGAGATCACCTCTAGGGGGTTAATGCAGGTGCTGAGGTGGGAGCAGATGCAGACAGACACACCTGGTGGGCGCGGGCGGCCCTCACTGAGGTGCCTTCGGTCAGCGTTCAAGGTCAAGAACCCAGAGGT